GCCTTGCCTTGCCTTGCCTTGCCTTGCCTTGCCTTGCCTTGCCTTGCCTTGCCTTGCCTTGCCTTGCCTTGCCTTGCCTTCCCTTCCTTTCCCCTCCAGTTGCTGCTCCTCTTCCTTCCTTTTCCCTTTCCCTTTTTCTCCTCCTCTTCCTCTTCTTTCTTTCCTTTCCTTTATCCTTTTTGGTAAGGGTCCACTAAGCATGCGTGGCCCCACAATCCCTCCATGGATGCAGTTTCTGAGCACCCAAATATGGCCACCATCTCTTGAAATGCCATGCATTTTCTAGCCAATGCAGTTGTTACAGTCTATTGTGCCGGTATATTATTCATATTGCTCTGTCTTCTGTACACTACTTTGCACACCATCTATTTATGGAAAACCTGGCACATAAATCAGTTCAGTCAGGTTAATCTTCCAGAGGTGGCAAATCAGAGGAAAGCAAGTTTAATCATCCAGGCAGGCAGTCCAAGCAAGACCCTGCGGGGCACTGGAGTGGGACAGCCCATCTGGGAAGAGGCTGCAGAGGCAGCCCAAAGCCAGATAACGCAAAGCAACCCCTGTATAGACAGTCAGACTCCACGGCTCGTCCTAGTCAATCAGGAATCCTGTGGTGAAAGGGGTAACCTTACTGTGCAGTGTTCGTAAGTGGCAAGAGGGTTGTGTGAGGGATTCCATTTGGAATCTGTTAGATTCCTCATCTAAGCTCCCAAGGCTCATCCCAAGTCCGTCCCATGCCCAGCTGTCTCCTGGGCATCTGGAAGGAAGCAAGTTCTTGTGCAGTTCTTGTGCCCGTGTGACTTGCAGCATTGCCTAGTTTGCACAAAGTACTGGGGACGTTATGTACTTCATGCAAAGAAGCCGCTAGTGTTCCCCAGTATTTGCAGGCCTGATCTCAGCCCAGCTTGCTTTGTAGCCCAGGCTAAGTGTAGAAAAGTAATCTGGTGCGCTCAGGAGAGCCAGGGTCAGGTCTGATTTTTGCATCTCCAGGTGACAACGTCACCAAAGGAAAACAAAACCGGCTGAGAGGTTCAGAGATGCCATGGGTTACCATGTACCCAGGTGTTGCTCCCCACCACCACCAAAAAGTAGCCAAGGCAGGGGCCAGCAGACAGGCTGGGCTCAGCTCTGCTAACTCAGCTCTGTTTGAAAACACACCGAAAACGCACCTTCTAGCTACCATTTTAGAGTTTCCCTCACTGTGTTGACAGAGCAATGCAGCACTTCGTGGTGAAAAAGAGATTGTATTAGAACATCAAACAGGTGTTAGCCCTAATCCTGACCTCCACATGTTACCCTATGTAACAGGAATCTGTCATAGCCATCCTGTCAGTTAAACTATCTCTTAAATGCAGCCGGAGCGCTGAGCGGCAAAGCACGCACAACTGTCTGGTCACAAAGGGATCAACATCAGCTCAGCCCAACTCAAATCCCACGAACAAACACCAGGTTGGAGATATTTAAAGCTCCTTTCAAGCCACTGACTTATTATTTTCTCTGTTTCTCTTTACACAAAGCAGTTGCTCCCTTCCTAAAGCCCCAAATGCCAACCAACCATTCAGACAAAAAGAGAGAGTAGAGGTAATAACCATTCCCACAGTAACACTGTCTACCTTTGGAGAAAATTGTGAAGCCATGGAATTACCCTTGGCCAGCAAACTATTTGCTTCTGAAGAGACAATTTTCCTTCCTTTAGAAAAGGGGCTGCTATCAATATAGGACAGCTGTGTCCCTGTAGGATGCAGGAGACTTGACTGCCCGCTCCCTAAGACTGAGAAAAGGGACTGTTTCTTCCCTCGGTGCACGTGGATAGAATTTGCCACTGTACAGTGCTGGGGTGAAGGACAGAGGTTCTCAGAGCATGGGAGAAGGACTTTCAGCAAGTTCACAGAGGGAAACTTCTCTCCCGTGGCAATTAGCAATGGCCTGTACTGGATCCTCCACATACAGAAGGAATTTAGTTCTGAATAGCACATCCTTGAGACAAAGAACACAGGAAAGTCATTGCTTTCAAGGCTGTAAAAGTGAGCTTCCATCTGGCATGCAACTGCTGGAGGTACATTTTCAACATTTTGCCCCACGGCATGGATTAGGTGTGTGTTTTCTCCATCAATTTGGGAGTACCTTCTCACAAAATCTGGCAAAATGTGGGGAGAAACCCCGGAGGATGACTGCTTGCCATTCTATGAACAGGTTTGGGGAGTGCAGATCAGGTTGCTTCACTTCAAAATGCAAACCGGGGCAAATCTGAGACCAGCCCTGGATCCATCAAGGCAAGAGTGTGTTGCTCTGGTATTTCGGGGTGCTCAGAAAAGGCACGTCCTGTCTCAGCATCGCCGTCTTCTTTCCAGTGCTTCAAATGAGCCACCTACCAAAGCTGTACCATCCTTCTGGTTTTCATTTACCCTTTTTCCCCGAACTGACATGACTTGGTGACATGACAATGTTTCTGTAATGTGAGCCAGTGTGGAATAATGAGTAAGGTGCTGGGTAATAACTGGTTTCCAGTCCCCACTCCGCCATGAAGCTCACTGGGTGATTTTGGGCCAGTCACAGACTCTCAGCCTAACCTACCTCACAGGGTTGTTGTTGTGGGGATAAAATGGAGAGGAGGAGGTGAACCTTATGCACCACTTTGCAGTCGTCGCAGGAGGAAAAGGGCAGGATACTAATGTAATATGATTATTTATTTTTTATTTATTAAAACATTTTTATGCCGCCCCATTCGCCGAAGCCTCGGGGCGGCTTACAACAATAATTATGATGATTCCAGTGTTGCCACACATAAGCTTTCACACTTTTCCAGTAAAATTCCTTTCCCCTTGGTTCCTACCTTATTTATTTATAAAATCTATTTAAAATACTTTGGGCTAAGCTCTCTCAAGATAGTTTGTAGGAGGAGAACAGGATCAAAATCCAATCCAATTAAAACAGCACTTAAAACCTTTCAAATCTGAACACTAAATTCTGCAGTTTGAGCACTAAGAAGAACAATTTTTTTAAAAAGTGCAAAAGCACCAGCAATATAAACTATTCAGCTCAGCACAGGACCGTCATCACAAACATATGGAATAATAAACGGGTTACAAAGACCTGTTTAAAAGCCAGCACTAAGGGGGCTAAGCATAGGCATAGAGTTGGGGCCACCACCAAAAAGACTCTGTCCCTAGTGCCTGCCGATCCAATCGATCTGAAAGGCAGACACACAAGCTGGGCCTCTGGAGCTGCTTTAAGTCCCAGGGTGGCATGAAGCGAACAGCTACCAAGTTAAAACACTGGTTGATCAAGGATGTTACCCACAGCTGTAACCAGCAGTGCTATTGCAGTGTTCGGCAGGGCTTCTCCATTCTTACATCTGAGTTATTTGATCTAGAGGCGTTCGGGATTAGAGGTGCACAAATCAGCCCCTTTCTGGTTCATGCCATCTTCAGATGCCCTTGCTCTTTGGATAGTCCTGTTCTGTTCCCATTTTAATCTGAATTTTTAAAACAACAACATCTTAAAGTACACATTAAAGCATGCATTCAAATCCCTAGCTAATCCCAAAATGTGTCCATGTGTATTCTTCTTCAAAATACATATTTTATGTCATATCATTTATTTAATATGATGCTTAGGCCACATTTAATGTTAAATCCCTCCGATTATTTTTCAAGGCAAATGCCGATTCGTTTAACCGCTGAGAATTGTATCACAACCTTCATAGATGATCCAAACGGTGCAGACAGCTCGATTCAATTTGCATGGTAGCAAGAGAGCTGCAGATCGGGACATCTCAAGCATGAATTTGTGACAATTGCAGTTTTCTAGTTTCCTTGCATGCACTCTGTTTTTTCTAAGAAGTCTCCAGGAGTGTTTAAAACACCCAGTGGTTATAAGGCAAGTTGAATGGAGCTTAACAATGATTAATCGCCGATGGATGGCTGAATCTATCAGTTTCAGTTTATCCCATTATTATTATTATTATTATTATTATTATTATTATTATTATTTATTATTAAAATCTCAGGTTCTTTCTGTTCCATTTATGAAGAAATTTGCAAATTCTGGTAAATACTTATCCAAACCAAACTGCAGCAAAATCCTCAGCCTTAGGCACTAGCCAAATTCAATAGTGGTGACGGCTCTTCAGGAGGACCTGGCTGCCATCCAGCATTTCGAGAGGAGAGCTTCTCTGGAAAACAAGTGGCAACCAAGTTCAGCAGCAAAATGCAAGGATGTCCGAGGAAGCAAACTCAGGTTTTGAAAATATGGTGGGTTTGACATCTGTACATGTGAGGGTCTTCTTGTCCCTTGTCCATGTCTTCTCCATGCAGAAGGATGTGAATGGCAATGAGCACTTCTTGGAACTAAATTGGAATGAAATTCTCACTCATCCATATCTGAGACCCACAAAAACCATGAATGCATTTTGTGTTCATTATGCAGGTCTCCTAATGCATATGATACAGTCATCCAGATGTATCTTTCTGGAACTAATCCGTGGATGGAACCCTAATCCACCAGATCACAGCTTAACAAAGAAACATAGAAACAGAATGAGTCAGAAGGGGCCTCCTGGTCCATCTAGTCTGACTCCCGGCTTCAGTCGGCTCCACTCATGACATGCCCACCATGTGCATGTCCAGCCTGTCCTTGAACACCCACACCGATGGGGCCTCAACGACCTCTCGTGGAAGCCCATTCCACACCCTCGGGGTCCTGACTGTCAGGAAGTGCTTCCTGGCATCTAAATGGGAATCTTGGCTCCCTGAACTTTGCTCCATTGGAGCACATCCTGCCTTCCTCTGTAGGGGAGAACAGGTCTCTATCCACCTCCACATGACACCCCCTCTGTCACCAACAGATCCCCTCTGAGTCTCCTCTCCTCCAGGCTGAAGAGACCCAGTTCCCTCAGTCTCGCCTCATACGGCATCCCCTGCAAACCAGCCACCAACCTTGTGGCCCTGCGCCACACTGACTCTAGCTTGATCAATACTGTGAGTATTGTACAATACTGTGAGTTCTGGGTGCCAGGCAGGGCTGCGTCAGCCCTCATCTTGCTCATCTTGCCCAAAAGAGTTTTGCTTTTCCTGGCATTCTTGGGGTGTTTCTTTCCCTCAGGAAGCTCCAGGCGCACTGCAAAGGGGTGCTTTAGGTGGAATTTGGCACCCGCGGCCCTTACGGTTAGAAATGCAAGCATGGGGCCTAATCCTTCCTTCTGAAATCCCTCCACTTGTCAGGCTGGCAGTAAAATCCCAAAGCATTAGCCTAGCATAACAGTGGGGGGGAAGCACTCCAGCTGTGTGTGGTTTAATATACTGCAGGCGGCCGATGGGTGAAACTTCCTGTCAGTGCTCTTTGATGTAGAGCTGATATACCTGGGCTACAAACCTCCGGGAATCAATGGAATTAGAAAAAAAAATCCTTTTCTTTCAAGGACAGCAACGAGTGACAACTGCAGCCCGCCTACCAATTGGCATCCGTGCTACTCCTGCCGGTATTTCAGAGAGTGGCTACTTGAAAGCAAGGTCAGGGAAGCGTTATTGCTTTTCATGAATATCAGAAAATGCATCTCTCCCTCTCTCTCTCTCTCTCTCTTTCTTTTGATCACATTTTTCTTTTTCTTTTTAAAAGATGTATGACTGCCGCTTGGAATTTCAATACCATTGGCTCTGAATGAGCGTTAGTTTTATTCCTCTCTTCAAAGAGAACCTTGATAGCCTTAATACATGAATAGATATTTATATGCACCTAGGTAGTAGATCCTATTCATAAAACACCTGGCATAGTTTAAGGGAATTTTTTTTCAAGAGGTATGCAGTAACTTCAGTCCTTCTTTGCTAATTTTTCTCCTAAGGTTAGTCACTTCTGTGAGTGCCGCAACATCTTCCCTTCTCTTCTGGACTGACTGAGAAATGCTCCGTTGGACTTGGATTCAATGATTCCATGGACATTGGGCGGAAAGGAAAATATAGGGTCTGTTCAGACTGCCATTCGAAAGGTGAATTGACATTCACAATAACTCTCTCATGGGGATCATGGACACTTAGTGGTAAGAAGGTCCCATGGATTCAGACAGGGCCTGCTTTGAAGCGTGTGTGCTCAGCATTTCAGTCTCCGTGAAATGATGAGGGCTGGTGGTACATAAGGATGAAGAGCAATCTACAACAAACTCAAGCAACTGGATTTCGTCGACTCCTCCCCACAGATTCCACAGTGGACCAGTCTTTCCCAAGTCCCATGGATTGCATGGACTCATTAAAAAAACTTACCCGATCTTATGCAAATTTCCTTCTAGAAAAGGAGGGCAAAAGAAAAAAAAAAAAGCCTAACATGTGGCAATGTACATGTCGGGAGGATCTGCGCGGTTCCGGGAGGAGAGCTCTGCGCATTTTCAGAAATGTGGGTGTGCACAAGGCACCTTTGTGCCAGTGAGTATTCTGCAGCTGGCAGGACCCGATTCCGTTGGTGAGAGCTGGGTGGAATGAACGGTGCCTGGAGAGCCACATGCTGCAGGCAGAACGTCCTCAAGAGGCCACCCGAGTCTGTCAGTCTGCTGGCAAGTCCTCTCCAGGTTTTGGAGACCCTAGGAATGAAAGCCCTCCAAAGCCCTGCTTGGCCCTAGGCCCCTCATGGCTGCAGCTTCAGCCACGGATTCGGTCCACCCCGCCTCTGGCCTCGCCTTCTTCATCCTCTGCCCTTGCCTTTCCTGGCATGGCCGCCTTCTCCAGGGAGCCTTGCCTTCTCGTCATGTGCTTAAGGCATCCAGGCCCAGGCTTGCTGCTCTTGCTTGCAGAGCTCGCGTTAATCCGGGACCTACTTGTTCGTCTTTCTGCTGGCCCAAGGTCTCTGCAAACTTCTCTAGCGCTATGCTTCAAATGCATCGATTCCCTTCCTGTTCTCGCAATATGAGACCACTGCAAATTGTAACACGTCCGGGAGAACACATTAAAGAACAGCTTCTTTATGCCTCCCTCTTCCAGAGCCCCTTCACTAAGACTTGCTGTCATGCTCCTCCTTGTTCAAAGAACTGCATCTGTCGTAAGACTTCCTTTCTCCTTCAACTCTTTCTTCAGGAACCTCTTCTGCCACCAGTTCCTCCTTAAAGCTCACTACTCTGAGCACTGCCCCTCCTTTCTTCCAGGATCCTCTCTGGCTCCGGGAGTCTGATATCAGGGTTCTAGCAAAACGATGGATGGCTCAATGAATCCGTTTTGATTCCCCACAGTTCCTCGTGTGTCTCATTCCTAGGCTTGAGCAGCACCTCTTCTCAGCATCAGCAGATTTTGTTGGCTTGGTGCACCATATCGTCTTCCTAGCACTGGATGAGTCCCTCTCTGTCTACACCCACACTTTATCTCCAACCTGAGCTGGGTTCTCCATGGAAGAATTTCTCCGGGAGGTAGACCTTTGAGGCCAAGGCTTTCTCTTTCTAGTTGCCTCCATGGAGGCTCCATAGATGGTGTCCTGTGGGCCCAATCCAGCCCATGGCCAGAGGGTCCACATCCCTGAATGGGGACAGTCAAATGGTGGTTCTGCTTTTAGAAAGAAGGTTGGGCTAAGTAAACTTCAACCTTTTGGGAGTCAAGATTTGATATCTGCAATGATTCATAGGTACAATCCTATTCATAGATCTTTAAGCCCAGGAACTCTGAAGCTTATGAACATCCAATGCAAAATAGGACAAGTATCAGGGGTGATTGTCAGCTCCCCATCCTCCCGGCCTGCTCTTTCCACCCACCTTGCTGGAGTATCTTAGAAGGGGAGGGAAGGAAGCTGGAATGGCCGCATGTTGCTTCATATCCTAGGCTTTCCCATCCTTTCCTCCCCACCTGCTAAAAAGCTCCACTTCCCCCTCTCTGAGGATGATCTCCCAACCTCAACGAGCAGCTGTTTTCTTGGGCTGGAGCACCAATTCCCAGCCCCAAGGCCAGAGGGCAGCATCTGACCTCAGAGTTGGGAATATCAAAAATCCTATGGCCCTCGCAGACCCTGGTCGGGGCCATAGGATTGCTCACTAAGGCTAAGCTGTGACACCAGTAATGTCCTTTGTGTCATGAAGCAGAAGAGTCCTGTAGAACATGTGCAAGATACTATGAGCACTGATAGATTTAGGTCCGTGGAAGTGCTTCCCTGGAGAGACAAGAACCTGTCACTTCGCAGAGCAGAGCAGCAGGACACCCTTGTCAGGAAAAATCCATTGAACTTGCCTGCAGAATTCCAGGCTATTGCATGGTGTGGGATCCCCACACTCTCAAGCCTGAAAACTATGGGAAGGATACGTCAGTAGGGACTGCTGTCCAAAGGAGCTTCCTACAAGGAGGTACCTGCCCATTGCGATAATTTGTTCTTTCATTCATGACAACCGTTGAAGTCTGGTGAGGTTTTTCTCATCATTTCTGTCAGCTTTTTAAAACATAGATTTCAGCATCTGCTCACTGTGGGGAATATTTAAGTGTGTTGGGCTCTTAACTAAAAACATGCATAATTTCAGGCAGGCATTTGTTCCAAGGGGACCAAGGGCTCCCAGGAATAGAAGCAACTCTTCTTAATTTTACCCCATTTGATTACTGTAGTTCTGCAGGATTTAAGGATGACCTCTCTCGAGGCACTGGAAGGGTGGCAGCCATTAACTAACCAGAACATTTTTTTTCCTAATGGGCATTCTGGGAATAAAGAGAGAGAGGATGGTGTTTTGGGAGATTGCTGAAGTGTGAGTGAAAGCAGAATAGGGACCAGAGATAGTTGGAGAGATGAGGTAGAAGAGTCTGCCTGAAGGTATCATTCGTTACAGCTTCTGAACCATGAAATCCTTCCAAGATGGATGGGATGGTGGCACAGCAAGCCCGTGCGCATGGGAACGGAGGACTGAGGGAGGAGCCTGAA